CCTTCGGCCGATCGCCTCCCTCATCCGCGGTAGTATCACATTTCTCTCCTTTCGTTCTCGTTTCATCGGTCTCTTTAGTTTTCTTATTTTCTGTACAATTATCTTTGCCATCTGCCTTCTCGACGTCTGTCTGTCGCTCTTCTTTGCCTGCAGTATCGTTTACAGGCCGTATAAGACTATCTTGATAAGACTGTACCGGCTCTAAGTGCGGCCGGTTCTTATAATGGAACTTGACGCTGCAAGGAACTTTGATTTTTGGACGACCCTCCAATCTCACCTTCGTGCGAAACAGTGGATTGGCGGCGCGCGCTTTACGCAGGAAATCCAGTTTCACCGCGTGCTGATCTATTCGTTGATTCGCGTACTTGTCCCAGAGCTTTATGCGTTCGGTCACTCTACAAGAAGTCAACAGATTCTGATCTATGAAATGATTCGGATGATTTGGACACATCCATCTGCCGATAGGAAAGGCAGTCAATGGTGGGTCCAAGCAATCCTGATGAAAATACAACGGGCAATAATCACATGCGATTAGTGGCGCCTTCCTGCAACTACGTCCACATTCGTAGCATAAACGAGCTGGTAACGGAACCATTAAGTTGCTATCCAAGCAATGACTTTTTCCAACTGGAAAAGAAAAATTTAATAATAATTTACATTTAGTAATTAGTAAATTAAATTAGTATAAGTCTAAATTAATTTAAGGCAGTTACAACATTAGCTGATATTACAAAGTATAAATTTATTATTTATCTATATACAAGAGAAAGGGGACAAAAAGAGAAAATGAAGAATCTTATTTTGCTTACCATTGTTGTACGACGAGCTCAGTGGTTTTCCTCTTCTACCAGATACATAGTCTACTTTATTGCTCCCAGGAAACATTATAGGCAACTGTAACTCCTTGGGCAATTCGAATTCTCTCGGATTTACCAGAGAAGCCGCCAACGTTAGCACTTCCAGAGCCGATCTCTTTTTCTTCTCGTTCCCCTTTTCATCAAAGAGTTCCTCCCTCTTAGAGGCGCAACGGCAGGCGTAGCACAGCCATTCTCCATTAGGAATATCCGTCGGGTCCACTGCCGGATAGCTGTAACGTAAAAGCTTTAGAATCATGCTTTTTTCATAGATAAGAATTCAACAACTTGTGTGAACATACAGTCTGAAGCAAATAGCGATTGTTCTATACTTACTGGCACTGCAGATGATAGGAGGCTGGACATTTGTCACAGCATATGAGCTCTCCACCATCTTTGCAGGCGTCGCAGAAGTCGCGATTGTGGCCACGACCTCGTCTCTTGAAGTACGGATGCTTCTTCTCCTCCTTCTCCTTCTTCGCTTTCGCCGCCTTCGAGTCGTCGGATATCGGTGGTGCTATAAGAGCTTGTATTTGCTGATAAAAAATATATATAATTTTAATACAAAGT